CCCGCCGGTCACCCCCCGGGGGTCGGCGGGCCGGGGGTCGGCGGGCCTGAGGGAGAGCCCCGCTGGTTGTGCCCGGCCTGGGAGGGGAAGGGGCCCCGGCATCAGGCAACCCCAAAATGCTGTGGTACCAGGGGGAGAGCTTGGCTGGGGGCGGTGGTTTGGAAAGGGAGGTGAGGAGGAGCCCTCCCTCCGCGGCAAAACCCCAGCCTCTTCGGACACCTCACGGGGCAGGTGATAAAATAGTTTGCTTGCCCTTGTGTCTGCCTTCGGTACCATCGTAAATACCTCCGGAGCCTCTATCGCAGTGCTTTTGGAGGGGCTGGGACACTCTTGTGCATCTTCTCATCAGTAGCGGTTTCACAGACAAATTAGCCATTTGCAAATTACTTGGATACAGCGAGCCTGATCAGATCTAAAGTGGCCCCGTGGTGAGAGCGCCTTGTTGAATGCTTAATCAACTGAAAATACGCATATCAAAAGATCTATGGCTGTTGAAGACATGCGTGTTTGCCACAGTCCTTCAGAGAACCGCTGAGAACATAGCCTTCCTCTTCACCGAGAAGAGGGTACTTGATTTTGGTCAGAGGAGAAAAACTGGAGGCTTTGGTCAGGAGGATGTACTACTGCTGATGTGTATGTGTAACAGTTTTCTTCAAAGCATCTATTATTGTCCTATTAGTGCGTGAGTGTTGGACAGTTGGTGTAAAAGAGAAGTTTAAGAAATGTGGTTGCTGAAACGTGAGACGGTTGGTATACAGGGATTTCCACGTTAATTGGGATACAAATGGAAGCTGTAAGAAAAATCTCTGTATGCAGAGCGTTATGAGAGATGAGTAACCAATGCAGTTGTGTACTGTAGTATGAGATGGGAGGAGGAGTGTCCTACCAGGTTAAAATAGGTACTGCAGGTGCACAAAGTACACGGATTAAGCGTTATTACTGTGCGGTGCAAGAAAATTGATACAGTAAAATCTTCCTCCCCTACTGTGAGACAGTCTGGGTTTGATTCTTCAGTGAAAGGTACAATGCTGGTGTAAGCAGAGCTAGAACAGAATATTAGAAATAGGTAAAGAATCCATAATGTTTAGTGGGTTTCACTTTTCAGTGGGCATTTTGTTTGGTTTTGTTTTACTTATCTCTTTACCATGAAAGGAAAAAGCATTACAAATGATTATATGACAGAAATCAGTTTACTGGGAGAGGATTTAAACAAGCTTTCATTTCTTTCTTTCTTTATTTGTTATTTTGTTTTATATGAATGCCCATGCCTGACTGTAGTCTCTCTCCCTAGAAACCCCAGCTGGTGGCCAGCAATGACCGTTTCTGCCGCTTTCTTGAGGAATATTGCCCTGTTGTGACAGAAACTTACTATCCTACGATTTGGTGCTGGGAAGGTCGCGTGCAGACACTCCTGCGTCCCTTTATCACCTCTAGACCCCAAGTACAGTACAGGAAGTAAGTGCCTTTCTTCTGGAAAGTGATTGATTCAGTAGCCAGAGGTTACCTTACTCTGACTGTGTCACAGCTACCATCATTGCTTAAGCTTGAGCCCATTTTTTTGCTTTATGCCCGCCTTTACAACTCCATCCTAGGCTTGGAACCATATCTATCCTGGATTCAGTGTACAGTAGGTTTAAAAGGTCAAGGTTCCCAAATGGCCCTATTTTAGCTCAGAGAGTTTTTGAGCATTGAAATCTTGGTGACAATATAGGAGCTGATGTGGTTATATGTTCACAGGATCACACAATGGTTGAGGTTGTAAAGGACCTCTGAAGGCCACCTTGTCCAACACCCCTGTTCAAGCAGGGCCACCAAGAGCCTGTTGCCCCAGGCTGTGTCCAGACAGCTTTTGAATATCCTTAAGGATAGCGATTCCACAACCTCCCTGGACTGCCTGTGCCAGTGCTCGGTCACCCTCATAGTGAAAAAGTGCTTCCTGATGTTCAGAAGCAAACTCCTGTGCTTCAGGTTGTGCCCATTCCTTCTTGTCCTGTCACTGGGCACCACTGACAAGAGCCTGGCTCTGTCCTCTTTGCACCCTCCCTTCAGGTATTTAAGCGCATTGATAAGATCCCCCTGAGCCCTTTCTTCTCCAGGCTGAGCAGTCCCAGCTCTCTCAGCCTTTCCTCATGGGGGAGATGCTCCAGTCCCCTCATTAGCTTCATGACCCTTTGCTAGACTCTCTCCAGTATGTCCGTGTCTCCCTTGTACTGGGAAGCTCAGGACTGGACACAGCACTACAGGTGTGGCCTCACCAGTGCTGAGTAGAGGGGAAGGATCACCTCCCTCGACCTGCTAGCAATGCTTCTCCTAATGCAGCCCAGGAGGCTGCTGGCTTTCTTTCCTGTGAGGGTGCGTTGCTGGCTTATGTTCAACGTGGTGTCTACCAGGGTCCCCATATCCTTTTCTGCCAAGCTGCTTTCCTGCTGGTCAGCCCCCAGCCTGTACTGGTGCACGCGGCTGTTCTTCCACAGGTGCAGGACTTTGCACTTCCCCTTGTTGAACTTCATGAAGTTCCTGTCAACCCATTTCTCCAGCCTGTTGAGGTCCCTGTGGATGGCAGCACACCCATCTGGTGTATCAAATATTCTGGTGTTTGAATGCCATCATTTTGAAAAGGTCATGCAATCACTGCATCTGTCTGTTGAAACAAGTTCTACCTTAACCATAACACGGCCCCATTCAGCCTTGTTTCAAGTATATAAAACTTCCAGGATTTTCAGAGTAACTTTTACCTGTGGGGTTTATGTTGTGTTCTTTGATGCCTAAATTCCAAGAGGGAAAAACCGTATATTTATTGTTTGTCCTCAGCTGATCTCTCTCACACAGAAATGAGACTTAGTCTGGCAAATGAGGCATTTGGCACAAGACCTAAGGAGAAGTACTTTTATGCGCCGGAACCTGGATGCAGCACAAGTTGTTTCAGCTCTGTTTGCATGGTAGAATAGATTTAGCATTTAGCAGCTTCCCTTAGTTTTAGTAACTAGGAAACATTTCAGTGGTATGGCCATGTCCACTTTTTCTAGCCTTTCTTGTATACTCTCTATTTCAAGGTTTGTGAGGGAAGAAACATAGTTCCATGGGGCAATGCTTATTTTGCACCATTTGAGATTGTGTTGGCAGTACACACCAGCATTGCATCTACTTCCCATTACTGAAAAAGGGCAAAGCTGAGCTAATGAGTCCAACAAGGGTGATGAGCTTTAAAACACGGAGTAGGTGCTATCAAGACTTTCAAATGAAAAATCAAATGCAAGGTAGGCTTACATTTTGGTAGTTCCTATACCAACTCTCTCATACAAAGTCTTCATTGCCAGAGAAGAGGGAAGATGCCTTCTTTTCATTGTTTAATGCATGCTTAGCTTCTTGGGATATTATAACGTTTCCTGCATTCTTAAGATGTATGGTTTAAGAGTGCATTCTAGCAAAGTTTGTGGGGATACAGGGTGAAAGATATAGTAGCGTGTGTCCATGTTCTGTGTGTTTAAAACATAACAAAGTGCCTTCCATTATACACACTGATTCTTTGGTTGAAGAGCAAAGAAATGTGATAGATGTTTAACACATTGCCCAGTGCGCTAGCAAAAGATTCTCAGATGATCCAAAGGAAAACTACAGTACACAAGCCTATATAAAATAGAAGGCAATGCCAAAAATCACATTAGTTACAAGCTTCCAGTCCATCAGCAGCAATTTATGAAAGACCAGCTCTTCATTTAACGTAAACGGGAATTGCTCTGCAAACTGACTGCGCTAACTCATGTCAGCTGGAGGCATGGCTCTTTCCGCATGGTAAAAATGCAAACATACCTAGTTAGGTGGCACTTCGGGTGTTAAAATGTAATTAAAAATGCAAAATTCATACCTGGTAATTTGTATGCTGTAAGCACTTTTAACAGTAGGCATGTATTTTTCAATCTAATCAGTGTTGTCTTGAAATGTGCCTTTCAGTGAGCTCATTAAAACAGCAGATGGAGGACAGATTTCGTTGGATTGGTTTGATAATAATGACAGCTTATATTATCCGGATGCCAGCACAAGACCCACTGTCCTGTTATTGCCTGGCCTGACAGGAACGAGCAAGGAATCCTACATTCTTCATATGATCCATCAAAGCGAAACACTGGGATATAGGTGCTGTTGTATTTCATTGCTAGTATTTAGCTTCTCCTAATAAGATCAAATATGTATATGTGTAAGATGCCTTCCTAAGGCAAATGAGATCTAAAGATATTAGTTTATGTAAGAAAGTATTATTAGTAATAATAACAATAATAATAGTAGAATTATGTAACAGGCAGTACATTTGGAAGGGCAGTTTTAGTATCTACAGACGTGCCCCAGAGATTGCAGTGAAAGCGAGGTAAGTCTGCATAGGCCTTTGCTGCTGCTGCTTCTTAAATTATAATATCAGTATCTGTGTTACCTTTACACTTTCTAGAGAAGGGGTTTGTATTCAGCTCCAGGAAGACTCATGTGGATGGGTTGCTGGCAGCAGGCCTCAGAGGAGGTCAGCTTCTGAATGCCAAAATTGCTCGATTCGGCAGCCTCAAATTTGTGAGTGCAGAAGGGAGAGCTAGACTACTCTTACTGGTGGTGCTTAAGGAAGAGGCTTGTCACCTCTTAATTGTCACTGATTTAGTTTTGTTATTAAGGCTTCTGGTCAAAGTTGGGCAAAATAAGTGGATTAGTTGATGAGTAGATTCCTTTATGTAATCATACTGCTGCTGCTGTGCTTTAAAAGAAGTTGTCATTGTTCCAGGATCTGTATTTGGAATATTAAATTTTGTCTTTGCAGATTGGCTTCTGGTACTGACTATAATAAGTTCTTCAAATATGTATATATGAGCTTTTATCTACATGTCTGGCTATCTCTTCTGTTTGGAGGTTTGGATAACTGCTTTACTAAATTATGAAAGTAAAGTAGTACTTCAACTGTTCAAAGTACTTTTAAAATAACTTTAAAATTTGCTAATAAAAAATATCAGAGGAGGAAAGCCCTCAAATCAACAATTTCTTACTATTCATTTTTTAAGTATTCCTGAAAGAAATATCTTCATTTGATCATCTAAGAAAAGAAGGTATAGCATTAAAAAGGAAAGCTTTAGGTCAGATTTCAACAGAATGCTGTAATTTTGTCTTTAAACAGCAACATTTGAGTAATACTGAAATAAGTAATTTTTCATGCCTTTAACCCATCTAAAATATGTGTACGTTATTTAACAAAATTATTACAGTCAGATGGTAAAAGAGCAATGAAAAGTAAGATTTATTAAGAAAGCATATATCCTGAAAGCAAGGTAGTACTGCTGGAAAATTCAGTGATTCCCACCAGCACAAGAGAGAACAGCAACTTCTGCTATACCAGACCAAAAAAAAAAATTCCCATCCCCAAGACCCTGCTCATCACTTAGATGCAGCCATCATTATAATTTTGATTTGCCTCATTGCTATTGGCTCTTTAATACAATTATGTAGCTTTGCAGGATGTCTACATGTGGATCTCTGACGTTCTCTTTCAGAGCACTGCTTTAGGCTCAGCCCTGCATGGGCAGAGCGTATGGCTTGTATTTGGCCAGCTCAGAGTGCAGGCAGAAATAGATGCATGTACCATCTTCAGGTAACCCCTGTGGCTCTCATCCTGCAATCTGGCCTCAACTGGCAAATCACAGAGCTCATATAGAGTCCCACTGACTTCAGTTAACTCCATTTTGGTATCAAGGTTGTTCCACACAGTTCAGACTTTAGGATCTGTAGGACTGTAAATATGAACTTATGCATAGAACTGGCTCGTTTTTCTTTATGCATGCATTTTCATTTTTTTTTTGTGTGTGTTTAAGTTATCTTTTTTAGTTGAATGAATAATGTGTATAATTGAATTTACTTTCTCAATTTTTAGATGCGTGGTTTTTAACAATCGAGGAATTGCTGGTGAGGACCTTTTGGTAAGGATGACTTTTAAGATAAACATCTCTCACGTGTAAGCAGTATATATGGGATCATTCATGTCTATTTGTGCGTCTGGATTTAAATGAGAGAAACTTACAGAATGTGTTGAAAATGCAGAGAAGAGACTCTTACAGATCAATCATGTGCAAATCTTCATCTTTAATTTTAAAACTCAAAGAGGCCAACTGGTCAACACACAATTTTTGTGAACGTTTCATTTTAGGAAATAATTTAAATTATTAATGTCTGTAACATTAAAATGATCAATGCTTATACTTTTCTTTCCAAAAATACTACAGTATCTAAAATGCACACATCCAAGAAATTCTGTTCAATCAATGCAATTTCCTATATATCCAAATATAAGGAATCATAATTACTTTCCCAGTTGCCAATATGAGCTTAAAATAGGATTTGAGATGGTTAAAAAGTTGTGCCATTAAAATTGATCCATATTATGTGTTACGGAATTAATGAACCAGATTTATAAGGATAGCCATATCCTAAAAGTTAAATGTGTATTTTTCTCAGGGATTATGACATAAGCTCAGCTACAAAAGACATTTTTGTCTTTGGGACAGACATATCATGTTCGCTTAGAAATAACTGGCAATTCCCCAACTGACGAAGGCTTGAAGCTAAACGTTTTCTGCAACTACGGACAAAGCATGATGAAATATTGCTGAATAAGCTTTGTTTCTTCATATGCGTTTTGTTGACGGTTCTGCAGCTGGAATGAATGTGCATAATACTTGGTATTGTTTTGCACTTTTTAATCCCCTGGTTTCAAACTTTAAAAGGCTCCGAATATTTTCCCATAATCAGATAAAACATTTTAATGCAAATATTGCCATGTTAAGAGTAGTTCTCTGCATACTTTTGGAGATGGATCTACAAAGCAGTTTTGTGACACACAAAGTCCTTATTGATGAATTTCTGAATCGTTAAGAGAAAAGATCTCTTGTTTGAATGCATTGTGTGTATTTTACTGTAATCAGATTTACATCTTTAAGCTTTATAAGATCTTACTGTGAAGCAAACCAGCTGAAATTATCACATTTTCTGCAAAGGGGTTTCTACATTTTAATATAAAATCCCTAGTTAATGAGTTTGAAGCATAGTTGAACACCACAGTAGAAATTAGTCATGCAAGTAGTTCTTTTTCTAGTCTCTTTAAAGATAGATTCAATTTTACACCAATAATAGCTATTTAAAGATTCAGTTTTTAAATGCTGTTCTTGTTTGTCAATTAAAGTTACTGTGAATTATTGTTATGGAATAATCAAATATTAGATTGACCACAGCCAATGTGAGCTAAGATGGTGTTTTAAAATATCTTCAAACAATGAGCAAACAGACAGACAGTAAAGTATCAGGAATTAACTGAAATTAAAATGTAACATAGCTCTCTAGTTTTATAAGCTTTTAATCAAATGCACTTTCACTTAGAGTACATTAGACCCTCCTTACCAAAAATAATTTATTTTTCCTTGTAAACTTGACAATTTAATTAAAATAAAACACATTCACACTGTTTATCATTAATAGGGTGTAAAACAGTGAAGAGTGATTCACGGGGATGAGAACTGGAAATGCAACATGGAAATTAAAAATGTCTTCAGTTTTAATTATCCAGATTTAGCTTTTCTTTGCTTTTTTTTATCTTTGACTTCAACATTTCAATATTCTTGTTAAATGTATTTTAAGTAATTAGCTTCATCTAATTAAACTTGTTAAAATTGCCCACAAATATCCAAGCTGTTCAACTGAAAGCAATTAAAAAAACCCACCCTTAAAATCCATTGTTGCTTCAGGGAACAAATAAGTTCAATTAACTCATAATTAAGTATTTTTATATTTAGTTTTAATGTTTATACTGGATGTTGGCAGGTCAGCCACTACCTAGAGTTAAGTCAAGTTCACTAACACATTAGTGACATATAGAGCAACTCTACAGTTGAAAGCTCTCTTTTGCTGCAGATGAAATCTAGACACCACCATTAGAAAAAAAATTCTTTTGCTGTGATTCTTATTGTACCTAAAAGGACTTAACTCCCTTATACTGCTCCAGATAGTCTCCCAGATTGTGGCCTGCAGCAGTTGTCTGTGCAGGTGAGGCTCAAAAGCTGTGCTTATCCTTCGAAGCAGGGAAGGGGTTGCCCAAATCTCAGTGATGCCAGTGGAAATCTTTCTAAGTCTCAATTCAAGATGTGAAGAGATGCTGATGGTAGATAGAGAAGAGATAATATATGTGTTTCATTGCTTTAGTTAATAGAATATTTTAGTAGATTAGGTAAATGGCACTGATGAAGTTATTTATCTATTTATTTGCTTGTATTGTGTGTAGAATCCAAACATCGGCTATTTTTCAAATGCTAGCTGACAGAACTTGAAATCTACTATTTTCTTTTGCATTTGAACGTGGATGGAGATGGTAAAATTGTCATTAAAACTTTATTTTCTGTAACTTGCAGCCTTTATGATGTTTCCATTTCCTCAGGGTATTTTAAAAATATGGATGCCTATCTAGTTCTCATCTAGTTCTGTCTAGTTTAGCTCGTTGCTCTGTGTTCAGATTTTGTCTAATGACCCAGAGGATGCAGATACTGAAGATATTTGTCACTTGGTTTATTTTGTAATGCTAACAAGTATAACTCCCTCCTCCACCTCCTACTGAAATGCTCTGGGTTTATATTTGTCATTTAGCTCAGTTTCACAATAAATACTAAATTTATCTTGTTATATAAACAATCCACTGTTCAGTTTGCTTTGTCCTTAAAGGATAATACAAAAGCTTATGATAGCATTTTTCCCTCTGACTCCTTACAGACACCAAGGACTTACTGTGCAGCTAACACAGAGGATTTGGAGGCCGTTATTCATCATGTACACAGCCTGCACCCCTCAGCTCCATTCATGGCAGCCGGTGTTTCGATGGGAGGGTAAGGTATTACGTAGCCCAAGTCTCAGCTTAACCAGGACCGTAAAATAAGACTGTTGTAGCCTGATGGTCAATTATTACTCTGCAATACTTGCATTGCTTACTGAACTGCAATTAACTTGGGCCCGTCTCCAACAGTCAATATTCAGAAGACTTGTAGAAACTTTGTACCTTTGAGGCTTTTAGCTCTGTGTTAGGGAAGGTTGAAATTGGCCAACATTCAAAAGTTGAGGGGGGTGGAGCAAGACAGGAAACACTGACAGACAGATTGACAGCCAAACAGGTGGGCAACACAATCTTTGGAAACTATGGAGGCTGTCTTTGGAACAGAGGGATAAAAAATAGGAACCAGAGCTAACATACCATGTTTCTTAGCAACGTCTGGAAATTACAAGATTTATCTTCACTCTATTTGGGTTCTGCAGCATGTGGGTAGGTTAAGCTGGATGAGATGTGGGTATTTGCTCTGTCTGGCTCAGAAGCAAGAAGTAGTAGTGCTGTTGAAACCAGTACGGGTTGATATAGCTTGTGGTATTAAGACTTGCTGTGTCCTGGCTTCTCTCCAGAAAGCACAGCTAGAACAGACAATGATAGCACAGTTGCTTATAAAAGTCACTGCTAGAAGCAATGTTCAGAGAGCCTCTTTAAGGAAAATTGTAGGAGAGGAGAACTTCCATTAGAAATACTGCAGGCAGAGTGGTAACTTCCTGATACTTACCTTTTTTCTGATAAATTTTATGGAGGGTGGGCAGATACAGCCCTGTATATCGACATTAATCTACTAACGACTTGTAGGAGCTTTGGGATAGATATAGATTTGTTCAAGCAATGTAGTTATTGATAATCAAATAAATAATTAACTTGGAAGCCTTTTAAATCAGGCCAGTCATTTACCATTCATGTTGCTGAGATTTTCCAGTGTCTTCAGTATGAAGACATGAATTTCTCCAGTAAGTCAGTGTCTGTCTTGCTGGGAAGCCCAAAATTGGGCACAGTACTCCAGGTACAATCTCATTAGTGCCAAATATAGGGAAATAATAATTTCCCTAGACCAGCTTGTTTTGCTCTTAATAACAAAGCACAGCATGTCATTATTTGTCTTCATTGCTGCAAGGGTGCATTGCTGAGTCATGTTCCATTTGCCTAGGTCTTTTTCAGCTGCTCTCTATCCAGTCGTTAATCTGTCCTATATGCAGGACTTTGTGTTTGCCTTTGTTGAACTTCATGAGGTTTCTGCCAGCCCGTTTCTCTTGTTGAGGTCCCTCAGAATGGCAGCCCTGTCTTCCATTTCACCAGCCACTCCCCACAGTTTGACCTGCAAGCTTACTGAGCGTGCGTTCCATCTCATCATCCAGTTAATGAAGACGTTACACAGTATTGGCGGCAGTATTGATCCCTGAGGAACACTACTAGTATCTGGTCCAACCATTCCGGTTGGACTTCAAGTTCCTGATCACAACTCTTTGAGCCTAGTGGTCTTGGCTGACTCACGTTGCACCTATTCAAAACATGTCCCTTCAATTTGGCGGACCATGGAAGACTGTCAAAAGCCTTACTAAAGTCAAAATAAGCAACATCCGCTCCTTTCTCCTAATCAACAAAGGCAGTCAGCTCATCATAGAAGGCAATCAGGTTGCTCAGAAATGCTTTGTTCTCGGTAAATCCATGCTGGCTGTTATCACTCACCTTCTTTACCTTTACATGCTTTGAAATGGCTTCCAGAGGATATTCCCAAAGCGCTGAGGTTAGGCTGACCAGCCTGTATTTCCTCCTCCTTCCATTCTTGTAGATGAGTGCCTTTTTTTCCCAGGCATCAGGAATATCCCACAGTTGCTGCAATCTTTCAAAAGTCATAGAGAGCAGTCTCATACTGACATTGACTACCTCCCTTGGGAGCTTTGGTGCACCTCACCTGGTACCATTGATATGTTTATGTCCAGTTTGCATAACTGGGCCCTAACTTGGTCTTCCTCTGCCACGAGTAATACTTCCTTCTCCAATATTCTGCCACTGGGCATAGGGACCTAAGAGGCCTGAGAACAGACCTTAGCAATAAAGACAGGGAAGATGGGTAGCTTCAGCCTTTTACAAATCTTTTGTCACTAGGTTCCCTGCTCTGTTGAATAGTGTTCCCAGAAGGGAATAATAGCTGGTCAGCCTAACCTCAGTTCTTTGGGAATATCCCCTGGAATTCACCAAGGACAAAGCACTCCTGGGCGATCTGATTGCATTCAGTGATGAGATGACTGGCTTCACTGATGAGGGGAAAGGAGTCGATATTGTTTGTTCTGAGCCTTTCTTTGTACCAATGTACTTACAAAACCCTTTCTTGATGCAGAAACCTTTTTCATATTGTCCTGCATATCCCTTGCTAGTTCCAACTCCAGCTGAACTTTAGTTTTCCTAACTGCATCCCTGCATGCTTGGGCAATGACTCTTTCTCCCAGGCAGCCCACTCCCCTTCCACCTTCAGGATACTTCCTTCTTGAACTCGGCCAGTTTTTTGTTCCTCCCTGTGGTCTTCTGCCACTCTTGCTCAACTTTCTGCACATCAGAATGTACGATACTTGTGCTTTATGTTCAGTTACTCTTAAGGTCCAATAGTTCTCCTAGACCCCTTTGCCCATCAGGGCCATCTCACATGGGATCCTGCCAACCAGATCCCTGACCAAATTAAAACCAACTCTCTTCAAGTCCATTATTGTAATTCTGCTGCTTACCTTCCCCACTCGCTTTTGATCTTAAAAGTCCACCATCGAATAACCTCAGCAGCCAAGACTGTTCTGCACCTTTCCATACCTGACAGGTTCTTCCTTACATGTGAGTAGCAAATCTATAGAATGTTGCCCCTATTTGGGTCATTGATCATGTATGAAAAGATTGTCCTCAATACTCTCCAGAAATCTCATCTGCTTGTGCCTTGCTGCGTTGTTGTTCCAGCTGATATTGGGATGGTTACAGTTCCCTGTGCTTATGATGCTTCTTTTAGCTGTATAAAGACTTGGACTTTCTAATTCCTCCTCCTGATCAGGACTCCATAGCAGACACCTACCATGATATCCCCTTTGCTAGCTTTCTATCTGATTTTGACCTATTCGCTCTCAATTGGCTTATAACCTGCACCAGGGAAAAGTTCTGTGCATTTAAATAGCATCTTTGTCTAAGGTACAAACCCTCCTCTTTGCCTTCAAGGTCAATCCTTCATGAAGAGTCTGTTTGGATGCATCATAGCATAGTCTTGTCTGTCTGTGAGTCCTCCAAGTCTCTGTGATCCAATAAACTTGTTCTGTGATTACACACAGACTTCTAATTCCTCCTCTTTTTTCCCATGCTATGTGTTCGCGCATGTGCTAGCACATGACACGGGCCACAGTCATACTGCCTTCTCAGGGAATTGTGAGAGCCTCCCCCATTATGCTGTCCTTTGGGTGCTTCATCAGGGTCTGCCAGGCCTTTGCTTCTCTTCAGGCTTTGTACCCCATCCCCATCCCTTGACAAACCCAGTTTAGAACTCTTCTTCACAAGGTTAGCAAGCTGGTTGACTCTTATCTCACTTGGCATGCTATCTCTCCCCAGCTCAGGCTGTTTTGCATGCAAAACATGAAATAACATGGTGCCTTGCAAACACATGTTTCACTGGAAATGGTGAAAGCCAAAGAAGCATCTGCAGTAGAGGCTTGTTTCAATGGCGAGATAAAGATTTAAAGCACAGTAGTTCTTTGTGGGTAACTTAATGTGTGGTGCACCATTACACTAGAACTAAGAGGGCTGGGGTATAGTAGGTGAAGAACCAGGTTTTCAGGGCTGAAGGTGCAGTAGAAGCTAGCTGTTCTGCAACTGATGCAAAAGACCAGTTCAGACCTTAGTGTTGTTTCTGTCCTTGGCTTGACCTAGTCATGGTATCATAAATAGGGGCAAAGTCTGTTAGTATGGCACAGGGGATCTGTGTTGTGTTCCTGGCTGTTACCTCACCACCATCAGTGGGCAATTTTAGGGAAGATGTTCCACCTTCCACCTCCAACATGTTTTTAAAGTCCTGTTTTTAAAGAGAAAACATATGCTTTATTGTACAGAAAACTGGAAGAGTCTCTAATCATCCACATGGTGACTGTTTCCATGCTTCAAAATTAATTGGAACGTTTGCATGTTTAAAGTTAAGCAGGAGCAGAGATCTCACCAGGGGCATATTGTGAAAATCATCCGCTTGTCTTAATCTTACAATAGTTTTTATAATCTATCCCTTTTCAAAATTTTCTGAAGAGCCAGTTAATCTATATAGGACACATTTGCCCAATTAAGAAGAAAAATAAACATTCCCTTCACAAAGGTATAAATGTAAATGAAGGCCCACTTGTTCTACTGCTCTTCAGTATGTATTATTTTGGAAGGAACTTTGTTTTCTAACATAAAGATTCCTAAACCTTCTCTTTACCACATATATTCTGTGAATTCTGTTTGAGAAGTTGCTTATTCTCCTACTTCTACTTTTTTTTTAATTGGTTTATGGCTCGGTGTTCTTACATTATATAGACTGGTGACTCACAGGTTCCTCCTCTTCTGTGGGTGAGAGGGAACATATGCTACCTAACTTCTATATGTGCCACAGGTGACATTCCTCATGGGGTGTAACAGTGTGAACTGATGGCAGGAGCCCACTCCCAAGTCCTGCTTGCTGTTCTTTTCCTGCTGGTTCCCACCAACTGGCAAGTCTTTGGTAATACCAAAGACTGGTTTCCTTTTTGCAGTGCTGTCCTATGATCTGGTAGGTAGTGCACAGGGGTAAAGTCTCTGTGATGGCAGGCTGGTTCACAATGTCGTTGCTAAAGGGAGCTATACTAAGTTGTGGAACTTGTAATGTTTTGAGTTAAAGGCTTGGTATTAAAATGCTGGTCTTAAACTTTGAGGCCTCAGGCAGTAAAATAAGACTTACAGCTTTTCTGTTAGTATTTTTCTTTTACTCTCTTCCTGCAATTTTAATTTTTCTACATTTGAAGGGTCAGGTACTGATGAACTCTCCCCTTTTTTCAACTCAACTATACATTGGCAGTAGAGACTGTAAGTTGCAATTGGTCATAAAGGCAAGACTTAAGACATTTATTTGGCTTATAATTTTGTTTTGCTAGTTTTATTCATTATCCAACACTTCGTTCTTTACATACTTTGTGTTAAAGAACAGCTGTGTTCTCTCGTACGTGTGAGGTGGGGTAAAGGCACTACCTTCAACTCAAAAGACAGCTTCATAGCGAGGCAGGCATGCAAGGGGCAGCTTGCATTTGTCAGGCACACTGGTCAGATTTATCAGATCAGGAAGACAAAAAGCTTGTAAAACGTTAAAACTTACTAACAACTTGGGAATACCTGTTCCATGAGTAAGATACGTTTATTTGACCTTTTCCTCCCTTTTAGTGATATAAATAAGACTAGTGCATCTCTATTTATTTCTAAATGCACTCCTACCCACATCCTACACAGTGCACTTGGTTCCTCTCTAACAGTAGAGAGAGAAAGCAAACTTCGTGAGTCATATGTTGATTACATTGACTGTCTTCTAGAAGTATTAGGCACAACTGTAGGGCTGATACAAGAAACTATTGAAAAACAGACAAAAAGGTGTCTGATTGTTATATTTGCTTTAAATTCAAGCAAACAATTTGATAGTATATGTTTCTGTTTTTCATTTCTGTTTGTAGCATGCTTCTTTTAAATTACCTGGGCAAAACTGGCAGAGACACTCCTTTAATGGCAGCTGCAATTTTCTCTGCGGGTTGGAATGTTTTTGAATCTGTAGAATCTCTGGAGAAGCCGCTAAACTGGCTTCTTTTCAACTATTACTTGACTACTTGTCTACAATCCTCTATCAGCAGGTGAGTTGCCTTCTGAACTATTAAGCAAGGTGGAAGGATGTTAGCATGAGATCTACAGCAGGTATAATAATATTGGCAAATTAATGCTCTAACAACACTTCACATAGCTGTTCTGTGTGCATTCTTCTGTAAGTTTTGAAATCAAAAGGATCTTTGCAAGACAGATTGTCATCAATGTGACTAAATTTCTCTGCTCCTCAAGGGACTCGGCACAAGACCAATGTACTTCTATATTTATGGATGAAGTGAATGCATTTTTAAATTTTTTTAGACATGCACATATTGACTTTGAGTATATATGTATATATACTAATTCTTTTAAGTCGGTGTTGACTGCAAAAGCATAGAAAGGGACTAGTTCATACTTTGCGTTACAAAAGTAGGGTGCATTTTGTATTCCCAAATATTTAGTTCTCTTATCTTTGGGACTTTTCTCATGGTTTATGCAGATTTTTACTATGTTGCTGGATGTGCCTGCATATGAATGAACAATTCTTATGCCCTTGGATTCCAGGCAGGTTTATAATATGACAGAAAATTAAAAACAAGCATGTTCTTGTTAAGGAGTTATTTCTATAAATGTGTTTGTAAAGCAGAGGACTTCTACATCTGTTTATATAACAAAAAACAAGCCCTCAAATTTTTCTCTCTTTCTTTTTAGGCATCGACAAATGTTGGAGAAATTATTTGATATGGATCTCGTGATGAAGGTATGTGAAAATGTTACTTCTGCTTTAGCTGGATGCCGTTTTCCAAATGCTGACATAGTTCCCTATTTGAATTCTGTACTTCAGGCTAGAACTGTTAGAGAATTTGATAAGCAGTTCACTTCAGTCATGTTTGGCTACCGTACAATTGATGATTACTATGAAGATGCTAGCCCATGTCGCAAGCTGAAGTCAGTAGGAATTCCAGTGTTATGTCTAAACTCTGTGGATGATGTTTTCTCACCAGGTCATGGTAAGTTTAGGCTTTTTAAAATATATTTATTTGTATATGCAATCACTGGGACAAACTACATAGGTCTGAGAATAAACTCAGACCTATGTGTGGAGCTGTATTTAAATGTTACTTGTACATAGGAACAAAATGTCCAGGATGTCTTGCAATTTATTTACAGTGTAAGACACATATAAAACAGCTGATAATGGAGAGACCTGATTAGTACAGAATGCAGAAGTACATGGGGTGGCAATTGGCCATCAGTAGACTTTACAGTCAAAAGAAAGAAATACGCACATTTAAGATGTGAGTTATCTCAGTGTAAGGAAGATATCAGATGTGTTGCTCTCTCAGAAGCACCCATTTCTATTCACCAAGTATGAAGAGAGCCTATAATGAAGAACTCGGAATTCAGATGTCTAGATTGTAGACATTGGGGGTTCAATGAAAGTGAAAACAACTATTTTTTTATTGCCATTTTTCAATCCAGTTGCTACAAATAATATCTGGGAGTTGCTTATGTTTCAGATGATTTGAAATCCTCAGCTGTTGATCTCAGTGCTACCTCCAGTGCCTGAAAAATAAAAGTAAGAAAAAATGTAAGTTAGCATGTAGGCCAAAATCAAGGGTAAGGGAAGAGATATAGACAAGGTGAGTTCCTAGATGGAGGAATGTTGAAATTAATAAGAATCTAACTAGAAGATGAAGCAGCAATATCAGCTAGTAACAGGCTGTTTTGCTGTTTTCCCTTTTCTTCCTATTTTCTGCCAAACACATGGTCATTATGAACATTTTGCTTTTGATCTGAAGATCAAAACTCTGTTGCTAACTGTCTTAAAAAGATATGCTTGTTCTTGTGGTCTGAGTACTGGTTATAGTGTCTAAGAAGAGAGGGAGAACAAAAACTAATGTAGAGGAAAATGACTATAATGAACAGCTAGTTGACGAGACAATCTTCAGCATTGAACACCTGACACCTTTAAATATGAAGTTTATACACTTGATTTATTTCAGGGAAGTTTTCTTCTGCCGCCACAAGTCAAGCGAGATTCTTATAGAATGAGTCATGAAACCAAAGTGAGTAGGCAAACAGATTAGAACAACAAACAGAAGAATTAAGGAAGAGACTCTGTGTGTGTGTGTGTACTGTTTATCTGTGTGCAGATGTACAAGACATACAGAAACATGCACATACTTACATTACTATTTATAGTTCGAAAACCTGTTAGAGGCAAATGTGACATGAAGAGAAAAGGGCCGCTCCAGTAGAGTGCACTAGAAAAAGACAGTCTGATTTCTTCTCCTCTTGAACAAAAAGCATCCATGCTATGCATGAACAATATAAAAAGGTGACAGCCACCTAATATGAGGGAAAAAATGGTGACTCTCGATTAGCCAAACTACCTATCCCTTACATTGGCCAAAACAGAGGCTTAAAAAAAAATAGTAAGATCTGGTCAAACATAGCAATATTCTTCTAGAATACTGCATCTACCTGTAACAATTTGCAGTTCAGGGACTTTCTGAGACAGAGTTAGTCCCTTTGTATTTACTAGCCTCTGTGGGATTTTTTTTTTTTCCTTGAAATCTGCCAGTTGCTGTTTCTGTTACAAGCATATAACTGGAAATGAGAATGGATGGGGCTGTGACCCTAAAATCTGTGTCCAAATATAAAATCTAGCTAGTGATTCTGAAGGTAAGTTTTTATGGGTCTTATGATCCTGGGGATGACTTTCCCCATAGTACTGCAAGGGTGATCTGCTGTGCCATGTTTCTACCATTAAGTATCTTAGAGAGGGAACAATGGCTTCACCTCTGTGTTTAGCTCTAGCTCAGTTTGTGGTTTCTGTTCTAAAGTGAAGTAGTAACTGTCACAGGAGTAAGCTAGCTAGTTAGCACAGGTAATAACAGCAGCAAACCGGACAGCGTGCCTCTGTGTCTGGAAGATTCGGTAACCTTTTCCAGCCTGTTACCACCGGGACCAGGACCTTTGTTAGCTAAATTAAAGCTAGTGCAGATACTCCATCCCCTTGCTTTTCATTTTAGAATATAACCTCCAGCTTTCAAGAGTCAACCACTGACACCACGAAATTCAATCTGAACACAAGAAAACACTTTTTTACTGTAAGAGTGGTCAAACATTGGCATAGAGTGGTTGTGGGTCTCCATCTACGGAGATACTCAAAACCTGATTGGATGCAGTCCTGGGCAACCTGCTCTAGGTAACCCCGCTTGAGCAGTGGGGTTGGACTAGATGATCTCAAGAGGTCTCTTGCAGCTTAACACTTTCTGTGATTGTGTAGTCGGAGCAGCCAAAAGATTGAGTCCCCTAGAGTACAGCTGTAGCAGATCTCGCCTCCCTTGAAGCTGTTTTTTGAAAGAAACACAGCTCTTGGTGAACAGAGGATTATAGGCATGGTCTCTTGTGTATGATTAAGTTATCAAACCTGTTGTTAGAGTGCCTCAGAAGTCTGACATTGTAGAGGAGGGTGAGGTAGAGCACCAGCACTTCTGAAACAAGAAGTGTTAGAGTCTGTTGTAATGACTGTCCATCCTCTCTTAAACTCTAACCTTAACCAGCTTTTCTCTATGAAAATGTCTGGGTGGTTCAGCATTCATAATAAATTTGCTGTTAACAGAGTTAATGCTGTTGGCTGTAAAGTGTTGTCCTTGTGGTGACAAGTTTACCTTAGAAAGGGCCACCGGGACAATGTTGATTTACAGCCGGTAGCATGACTCTCTTATGTGTGTCTATCCGTGGCTCCTTTTTTGTTTGTGCTATGCACACTCAATGTGAACAGTTGTGCTGGCAGGAGACACAGGGCACCCTGATTCGCAGCCTAGAAATTATGGCTGCTGCCATCAGATAGTGGAGTTCATTCATCTTGACACTTTTGCGGGCTGTTTTATGTTAGCAAACATAACGGGCTGGTGTTACTCTGGGAGGTGACTTTATTCTGGCAACTGGCTTGTTTTTTTCTGACTTAAAAGTGCGTGGACACGTGTAAGTCTGTGGCAAGCAAAGGCAGTTTCCATTCACAACTGTATAGTGGATTCAAAGCCACAGAATTTCTTCTCCTCCAGACCCCAGCCTTTTATTGACTTTGGGGACTGGTTATTTCATGCCTCATCACTCCCAGTAATACCTACCAGCCTTTAAGCTACCTTCCACCTCTGTTGTAGATAGCTGTAGTTTCCGACAGCTGGGAAACAGGCCTAGAAAACTCATTAGGGAGAAAGCTGTGCCAGAATTCCTTTGTGTTTAAATATACTTTATAAAGCCAGCCACATCTATCTTCCTATAACAGAGCTTGGGGGATACAAACCCAAGTCTGCTTTGTCACTACACAACATGGACCTAAAAGAGACGCTTCCCTTATAACCGGCAGATGCTGTCGCTGTTGCCTCTTACTACCTGATCATTTCTTCTCATGTAGCTTTTTGGTACACTTTGTACTTCCCAGCAATTATTTTTTAATATATTGCACAAATGCGCCCTTTGATCTCAGTCCAGTATTAGGAAGAAACAATTCATTTGCAGTCCTTCCTTAATGTTGCTGTTTAAAGTTCATAGAGCTTGGCAGCCGACGTATCTGTAGTTTAATTCTGGAACGCAGTTCTCATATTGCATAATAGTAACTAATGAAAACAAATGCTTTCTTCATTGCGTGACAACTTCTCTCACCATAACTAATTTAAACAAGCCATTGCTTCAGGAAATATGTAATATAACCAAGACAAGCCCTTTTATTTTGTAAGTGTGAAAAATAAATCAAGACGACGGAATGATAGAGTTCATTATCAGTGTCACATTTAACTTTTCATCTGAAGTGGCTTTTTTCTCCTCAGAGACTTTAAGCAGTGTATTAGACATCCGACTTAAATTTCACGGTACTAATGCTTAGCTAATTGCTGCTGGTGAGTGTTGTGCCCTGGAAACTATGTACCATGCTAGCTCCCTCCTGATCCACTGTGCCAAATAAGTGCATGTCTGAAGCTCAGCTATACTTTTTATTGAACTCTCTGAACCTTTTCTCTCCTTCTGAATCCAAACAGAGTAATTGCTCTTAGATGTTATTTTGCATCCTATTATGTAAACAGCACAGTTCAATGAAGTTGTCTGGGGAGACCAAATGGCCAAGGAATGGCCAGATGGACAACAATTAGGCTAAGAGTTTAAGGAACTGGGAGAGATCAACCAAACGATGGAAAGGAAGTTCTGACAGCAGTGACTTACTGAAGCAGATGCTCTTCACGTGTATGTTTTTCTATTGTTCTCTTTTAAAAAACACTTTTTGCAAAGAACATACAACAAATTGCTTTTGAACAAGGTTAATTCTGCACATATGTACTTACACTGTTGTTCTGTGATCACAAATGAGGTCTGTGGCTGCTGGATCAAACAGCAGTTCTGATCAGTAGAGACATAAGTATAAGGTTACATGTGGAAAAAAATGAACAGCAGTATCTTTTGGCATGCTGTCCTATATCCTATAGTGCATCATATCCAGTGCTCCATTCATCTGCCCTTTACATTGCAGAATTTGCTCTGTTGCATTGTGGGTTTATTTGTGGATGGCTAACAGTCCCTAGAAACAGCCTTGAGAAAAGCACCATACCACTGCCAAGCATCATTTGCATTTTGGCACTGGAGAGCAACACAACATTTTCAGTTCTCTCCTGAGAAGCTGCAGAGCAAGAAACTCTGCTGGGGAGGAGTCATACAGACGGTGACCCAACTGTATCAAGACTGACTATGCCAAGGGCAGGCTCTCCTGTTCACCACAGGGAAGGTAAGAGCAGGGAGGTAACAGCAGGTCAAACTTGGCACCTACTAAAAATCCTCACTGCAGGTAGAAGCAAATGAGTGCACATTCAGCACAGTGCTGCAACTTGTGATAAAAGCAATGATCTGTGGCAGAATTCTGCTGTAAACACGTTAGTTAGAATAGGGAGAACTTCAGGATGGGGAAGATGACATTCTTGAAGTGTGTGGCTCGCACCTTACCTGGCACAGAAGACAACCAGCATCCTAGTGCTGGTAGGTTTCTAGGAGAGAGCTGCTGTAGCTGTTTGGAGGCAGGCAGCACATGGCACCCACTATAGTATCGCCAATCAGTTTGGGAATTAATAATTAACCACCAGCAAACTGATTTGGGAGGTTATCATTACGCTGGCAACCTTGGAATGACAGGTATGCAGAGACCACAGTGAGCTTTGCCTGTGCTTCCCCAGCTGGGTTGGCACAGCAGAGGAGACATTTACCATCATCTCCCTTTCACACCCGCAGCAAAAGGCTTTCTCAGCGAGAAAGGATATTTCTGTCTACCCTTTGGCACTAGTCTGACAAAGTGAACAACCATCATGTTTTTGCACAATCTTAGCTAGTCAAGAGGTTTGTTCAGGCCAGTATGCAGCTGATTCCGAATCCATTAGGATCGATGGAGTTCTCATGTTATCTCTGATTCGTGGAGATCAAGCCTGTCTCTCCTCACATACTCCTCCCCATACTCTTCCATATAAGCCTATGCATTAGTCCCCTCAGTGACCAGACAGACAGGTGCTGAATGGCTGTGGAAAGTGTTATTCATTGCCTGAAGCAGGAAT